CCATTCAGACCCCGAGTACTGTACATACAAACTATTTAGTATTCATCCAAGTCCACATGGACCCAGTACCAGAATTCATTGGAAATATTCCGCCGCTTATTCCACCAATATCTATTTCGACCAACAACCAACTTGGGACTTTCCCAGCGCGCTTCCCTAACACACAACACATCTATTTTTCTGACTTTCTGTTGGGATAAGACATTGCAAGCCTTTTGTATCTTTTTACGTTTTTTTATTTGTTTTCGTTCACTATTTCGTCAATTATTTTATCTGGATCTTATCACTATTGGTAAATTGAGTGGCAACGGTACACTTAAAGATACTGCTTCGCTAAAGTACGGAATAATGAAGCTTTTCGGATGCTTTCAGCGTGGTCCAGAATATCCTGATTGTTAAAAATATTCAATTCCGCTTGACTTATGGTTTGAATCTACAACAAGAAGAAATAACGTTCTAAGTACTATATTGTTATCTTAATGTAATATCCTAATAATTATTATTTCTTACTGATGGAGGAAAAAATCTTAAAACGGGCTAAATTCAAAAAATAACCACGCAGAAGTGCTATTTCTCAATGATCGGGTAAAATTGAAATGAACAAAATTGACTGACTGCGAGCTCACCTSAATGTATGCCTTCAGCTCCATACAGCATTCAACCATCTTCTTGAATATCTAATAAATAACGATCAATAACTATTTTAATAAGCATTACACATCAGCAAATGGCTGATATGCGTAATTCATATACAAAATACTAATTAAATAGGAATGCCAATATAGATGTAGTTCATACAATTTAAGCATTGTTATTTACTGAAGGCAACTATTAACTAAAACCTCTGGCCTGATTCAAGTCAGGTTACGGCAAATTCACTTCTTGAATTCCAATTCAGTGTAATAGCTTTTAYGGAGATAGCAAAACAGAAGGAAATCCCTTGATTCAGTCGAGAGACCTAACACACTCTACTCGCATGTTATTCAGACWCCGCGAACCAAGTCCAACACCCCAGAGGTTAGTGGCAAGTGTACTACCTCTACAACACTCTACACACTTGTGTGTCTAACACACTATACTCACATGTTATGCAGAGACCGGGAACCAAGTCCAACACCCCAGAGGTGAAAGGCAAGTGCACGTGTACTACCGCTACCACACTCTACACACGTCTGTCTACACATTTCTGTGTTTCTTTTTGAGGATCACAGCTTTGCCATTACGAACCGATATAAATTGCCAATGNTAACACACTATACTCACATGTTATGCAGAGACCGGGAACCAAGTCCAACACCCCAGAGGTGAAAGGCAAGTGCACGTGTACTACCGCTACCACACTCTACACACGTCTGTCTACACATTTCTGTGTTTCTTTTTGAGGATCACAGCTTTGCCATTACGAACCGATATAAATTGCCAATGTTGTGTTTTTTAAATGCACTACTGCTTTATCWAACTGATGTAGTGCTAACTAAATAAACTTACTGACCTGAGTGTCCCAGACGGTCACTGGGATGGACGAATAARACAGACACGATGAACATGCTCCAGCCTCAATGTAACATTTCAGGGCCGAGGAATAATTTTTGGAATCTGTAAAGAAAACATTAATAATGGTTATATTTCTATAACATGACTGCAGGTAGGTAGTCTTCAGTCCATGTTGGACTTCCTTTTTTGAGGTTGTTTAATGTTGTTAAATCGTTTACTGAAATCGTTGTACTTTATTGCTGAAATATAAAACGCACGTGCATGTCAATGTATTGTGATCTAACACTCTGGGAGCCGTAGAGCACGACATAATCAAGCGTCAAGACACGAGGCGTAGCCGAGTTTATCCAGTCTTGCTTTTAGCATGCTCTGCAGCTCCCTAASTGTTCCTCTATCGCAGTAAGGCATAAGCAGCCGCGTTATATTGCTTTTATGACTAGTCCAATCCTTTTTTTGAGGTCCAATCCTTTTTTTGATATACATGAATGATGCTCAATTTCTCACAAAAACAATTCACTTATTGCTCTACGCTGATGATATGAATCTTCTATGCAACAATAAATGCCTTAGAAAAGCTACTAATATCCTAAACAAGGAGCTACTGTCATTAAATGATTGGTTTAAGGCCAATAAACTCACAGTCAATTTGTCAAAAACAAAATATTTCTTATTTGGAACGCAGCAACGGCTTAGAAATATCGTGGCTGGTGGTGTTCAAGGTCAGTTGTCCCTTAAAAATGGTCAAAATATTGATAACACGTCACATACTAAATTCTTAGGTGTACTTTTGGATGACAACCTTATACATAGAGTCCTCAAATTTCTTTTGTGTCAAGAAAAATDGCAAAATCAATTGGAATTCTCTATAAATGCAGACACTATCTTTCTCTTGAAGCTCTAATAAATCTTTATTATAGTTTCATATATCCGTATCTTTCTTATGGCACCTTGATTTGG